CGCGAGTTCTGCTAGTACATAATATATTTAGTTTTCAAAATACTTTTGTTGCGAATATTCCTATATTCGGATTGTGTACTTAATAAAAATCATTTTATTCCGACACATAATATTTTGACTTTCCTTCATGTACTTAAATAGGTTTTCGTCGTCTTTTGTGTTTGAATCAAGAGCATATCCTTCAAATACTACAAAGAAACGGACCCGTAAGGGGATTTGGCAAAGAACTGGCTTTTGTTGCTTCTTTATGTCATTCATGTAATAAATTTCTATATTGTGAGTTATTATAATGTAAATTTTATACAATAACAAATTTTATACCCTTTTTATACACTTTAGGAAAACAAAAACAAACCTTATTCCACGGGAACCGTTCATTTTTTCGGGATAAAAGTAGCATATGTGCTATTCCAGACTATAATCTATCTCTGTGCCTTTCATCCAGATCCATTCAGCCGTTCTGACGTGAAAGAGTAACAAACATCCATACATACTCACAATCTTTCACATTTATAATACATATTAAATTATATAAAAATACGGATTTAATAATTTGAATGTAAGATTATAGCTAGTATGATAGTAAATCCTATATTAATTTGTGTTTAGCGGTGGCTTTTTCACCCAGACTAGTTACTACGCAGGAAATAATTGTTTTAATAAAAAGGATGTTTTACATAGGTGACAGTGAATGCAGAACCAAATTTATATAAAACTAGCGACTCACCCTCGCTTCGCTCGGGTTCGTCCCTGCTTACGTTTTAACGTTTAGTATCGATTTCTCAGAGATGAGATATTTTCCCACAGTAAAAAGTAAAAGTATTCTATATGTTGCCAAAAGTCCCGCAGTAAAAGTATTCTATATGTTGACCCGGATAACCAGCTATCATCATATCAAATTTCATCAAAATCCGTCCAGTGCTTTTACCGTGATGCGGTAACAGACAGACAGACAGACACAGACAGACAGACAAAAATTCTAAAATCTATAGATTCGGCCTCTGTATCGGTTCGTCTTAGTTACAAAATTATGTGTATAGATAATAATAATCCCCTATAATTTACTACATAATGTTCCTATAGATAGTACATACATATGTACTCGTATTTGCGCTATCAAAAAAGTGATCCGATATGAGCTTAGGAGCTAGAACGTTATGTTTAGTATCGTTAAGGGCTTCGAGAGTAATAAAAATTTCGGTCCGACCATAAAAGATGTCATAAAACAAACGCTCTTGTACCTACTTTAATCCATATGTCTGATTTTAGTAAAAAAGATTTATTAAATTGAAAGCTAGAAGCGATCAATCTTATTTATATGTATATTTTTTTAATAATCGTATGCTTTTTACGGAGTATTAAAATAAAAAAAATTAAAAGAAACTCGATCATATTCATAACTCATCTGACCTTTTTTCACATAAAATTTGATTCTTTCATCAAAGAAAATAAATAAATAAATCACCATTTAATACTAACAAACTTGTCATCTTATAATTATTACATAATATTTAAAAACGTGATAAGACATGACGTGAGAATCGTGACAACGAAATAACTGAGACACAACGAAATAAGCTCGAAGGTTTTACTAAAAGCCTGACTCCCTCATTAGATCAGCTCAAATATATCAAATTATGTGATAGTCATTCGTTTTTTTTTCATTTATATTAAACTCATTGTCAGGCTCGCTGGGGCGAAGTTTCTGATAGGTGTGCGGGATGGTACCAGCGGATGTCAGAAATTTTCTGATAGAAAAAATCTTTTATAATATGCGACCGGCCTTAAAAATCTTAAATTGATATGACAATCAGATGAGTGTTACATTGTGGAAAGAAAAAAAATTGTCTAATAAAACCTTACTCATAAAAGGTTTATTTACCTTTATCTTTCTACCTTTAGGTAGTTTTGCTATAAAAACATAAATATCAGTCGAGTCGATTTTTTTTTCAGTAATCAATCAATACTTGTATAGTTATTAAGTTCATTAAAATATAGTACAGATAAAAAAAGACATGATCATTGTTTTAAATCTTACATATTAGTTCGATATTAATTTTGCAAAAGTTTTGTTATACCATTATAAAAATAACTACATACTTGTGTTGAAAGAAAACATAGCTTTCCAGTAGACTGCATTGCGGAAAAAACTGAATAGGCATTTGAATATTAGGTTCCATTTTCGTAGACTTTATCATAGCCTAAGAAAATGGCTAGTTTCAAATAAGCCATTGCATCATGGTAATGTATATTGTATATTATGTTACACATTAAGTTTATGAATCTATTTTATCACTCCTATAAATTGGTTAATAAAAGTGCACTGTGCGAGAAATAAAAATAAGTTGTATCTAAAAGTTATAAAAATAACTAGGTACTTCTAAACAGTAGATAATATTATGCTCAGAGTATTTTGACATTCATAGTAATAAAAAGGACTGTTTCTTATATGTTGTTCGCACAGATTCTCTTCTCTCGTACCTATAAGAAAAAAACTTCATAGAAAAGTTGTGCGTAGATTTCTAGTATGAAAAGCACTCTAATTTAGATACTTTTTATATATTTTCTACTCTAACATTGTATAAAATAAACATTGCACTTTTAAATGTACTCATTTTTTAATATAGGCAATAATTCATAATAAAGAATATAAAGTTACATTTAATTGAGAAAATAAGACATTTAAAAACAGTTGATTTAACTTCTACTTACTGTATCATGAAGGTAGTACAAAAATATTACATAATATACATGTAAGGTTTCGCTATTTCAATGTATAATCAAACAGTCAATAATTGCTGGCTACAATGACGACGCGAATGCAGAAATTACAGATACCTTTATAAATCAGGCAGTTAAAAATCACGAGAATGGGCAGGCCGGAGAAATAAGTTAGATTACAAGTAAAAATAAAAAAACTAGAAAAATAAGAAAAGGGGCATTGGTTGGAGGGGAGTTGACATAAGGGATGCTATCCGTGATTTTTAATTGGAAAAAGGAAATAAGTAATTGTAGAGAATAAGTGTTTTGAATGATTGAGTGTATAAGTTTTATATTGTAAACTAGCGGCTCACCCTTGCTTCGCTCGGGTTTGTCGCTAGGTACGTTTTAAATAGATGTAAATAGTTATTAGCCAGCGTTAGCCATATAATTATTTTTTTTTGTTAATTTTTTTGATGTTTTAATACTTATTATCCTATTCAGGACTAAGAGAAATTCAAAAAAATCAAATATCATAAAAATTTGTCCAGCAGTTCTTGAGTTATAAATGGTGTAACTAACGCGACTTTGTTTTATATATATAGATACTAGCGGCTCACCCTCGCTTCGCTCGGGTTCGTCGCTAGGTACGTTTTAAATAGATATAAATAGTTATTAGCCAGTGTTATTAGCCATATAAATATTTTTTTTTTCGTTAATTTTTCTGACGTTTTAATACTTAGGTATTAACCTATTCCGGAATGAGAGAAATCCAAAAATTCAAATATCATAAAAATTGGTCCAGCCGTTCTTGAGTCTTGTATACGGGAACGCAGTCGAACGGGCTAAAAAGTATCCTATGTCCGTCTCCTGGTTCTAAGCTACCTACCCACCAAGTTTCAGCCAAATCGGTTCAGCCGTTCTTGAATTATAAATAGTGTAACTAACACGACTTTCTTTTATATATATAATATAGATATAAGTTTTGAAATATGATGCTGGGTTTTTCTGAGGTACCTTACATATTATATAAACAGAAGAGGTTTGGTTTACTTTATTATAGGCAGGCAATGATTATTAGGCAGTGGTAGCTCAGTGGTAGCGCGCTCGCTTGGGAAACCGAGTGAAGCGAGTTCAAGCCCTGGGTCTCGCACCTCTGATATTTTCATGCGAGAACCTTTTCTAACATGAATACCACTTGTCTTAACGGTGAAGGAAAACATCGTGAGGAAACCTGCATGTCTGAGAGAACCTAGCAAGTTTTAAAAAGACATATGAAGTCCGCCAACCCGAACTTGGCCAGCGTGGTGGACTCTGGCCTAATCCCCCTCGTACTGAAGGGAGGCCCATGCCCAACAGTGGGACATTAAAAAGGGCCGAATACAATGAATATTAGGAGATTATTTTAATAAAAATGCAAATGTAAATTATCAATTTATTTCATTTTCTTTGTAAAATTAACATTTACACATCAATGTGTTATTATGCGCAATTAAAGAATAACATCTTGCGATTAGATATAATTTATTCGCATTCAAACAGTCTTTGTCATTATATGTATATATACTGTAAAAGAAAAAATTGAAATACATTTATCTATACAAATATGTTTGGCACATTAAAGTCTAGGAATTATCACCCCACTATCTTTCATTTAAAATTGAGTTTAGAAGTTTCCTTAAATATTTTTAATTCCACTATAAAATCATTAGTTCATAGCCTCAGTAACATAGCACATTTCTTATTAGTATATGTATTTTAAGGCCTTAAAACAAATATATATTTATAAATCGAAATATTGAAATAAAGATATAGCTATAAATCATACTTGATTTTACTAAAATATCGTAGATTATAATTAAAATGAAAATAAAAAAACTAATTACATGTTATTTATAAAACATTTACTAACATTTATCTTAGTACTTAGCTATTACAAAAAATACAAAATTTACTATAAATGAATTCTATACCTTGCTACTTGCATCTTCACTATCTTTCATTGTATTTATAACAAAAGTATTATTTGAATTTAAGATGCATCTCATTGGAATCTCATTTAATGTGGCTATTTGAATAAGTAAATATAATACTTTAACGGTGCTAGAATACTTTACAAAATACAGACCTCATTCTACTGGTCCACATACTTACTCTTACGAATAAAAAAACTATAACAGTTCTACTTATGAAACAATCTACTTTACTTACAAAATACAAGTCCTTTTATTTTTACACATACACATTGGAGAGGTCTCTACTATATTCACTGCTTTATGAAAAGTCACCTTTGGTAATCATCGGGTCAATGTTACTTCAGTGTCACTAGAACTTCTAGAACTTTCTTTTATAACATCGAGTTCTCTATTAGAAAGTGATGAATTTCGAGAAAATTTATTTGCAACGCTGTATTCACTTTTTTCATCAAAACCTTCATGAACACAACCATTATAGTCTTTGAGATCGTCGGAATCATCTTCAACTATGTCATTAACCTCTACTTCTAACAAATTATCATTTTCTTTAATACCATAAGAATTGAAATTCCTTTCTTGACTCAAACTACGTATACGATCAAGATTATGTTCTATATTTGGTATATTATCATCCTCTATACAAGGCGAATCATCAAACTTCCATTTGATGCTTGAATTAAAATGTTCTACTCCAGGATACATACTTATGCTATTACTTCTATGCCCGAAAACCGGACAGTTTCGGTATTCTCACAATTCCGGATGTCGTCCATTACATATTTTACTGAAGTTGCCTTCATCTAAGCTAAGATTAGAACGAGAACGACCGCATTCAAGGCCAGATTTAAAAAGACAGAAGTCCGAACTTTTAAATCTGCACTGTCTTGAGCAATGATCGATATGGAAAGCAGATCTATCTAGTTGTCTGTAATCAGTTGGACTATACCCATCAAAAAATCTTGAACCATGCTTGCAAGTAGGATAAGCTTTAAATGACCCTGAACATCGAATGGGATCTCTGTGGCATGCTTTTTGGATAGCATGTAAAGAATTTGACGATACTGTGCGTTCTAATATTTCACCCCAATATTTCTCACCAAGCCCTTCAAACTCTCCCTTTGAATGTAATCCATCAGATGTTATTGAAGATCCACAGCAACCAGTCGATTTTTCAAAGCTTTGGAAAGTTTTCGTCCTTCGACAACATATCTGGGGAAAAATAAGAAACAATATCACGTATTGAAATTAAGATAAAAAATTAAAATTCCGGACAAGTGCGAGGCGGACTAGCCCACCGAGGGTTCCGTACCATTTTGTAGGAAATATGTTTAACTTTAATTTTAATTTTTTTTATTTATTAGAATTTTTCCTTTATTTGTGCTGTAAGATTTTACTTTTTGCCAAATTTCGTGATTCTAGGTCAACGGGAACTACCATATAGGTCTTCGAACCAAAACCTATAGGATGCTTCTGGTTGACCTAGAATTGTCAATTTTGTATAAAAGCTAGGTCTTTCAGCACAAGTAAAGAGAAAATTTCGACAAATGAACAAAGTTGAAAATTAAAGTAAATTTTAGTACTTACAAGTTTTCGTGAAAATCTAAATTTGCACATATCTTCATGTTGACTCAGGATCTTGATTTTATACACCTAATAGGGACTATAGACCTTAGTATCTGGTATAAATTTCAACTTGCTAGGTCTACCCGTTCCTGAGAAAATCGGTGATGACACACGGCCAGACAGACACACGGACAGATAGACACACGGACAGACGAACAAGAGAGTGATCTTATAAGGATTGCTTTTTTACCATTTGAGGTACGGAACCCTAAAAACATGGATACTTACAATGTTTGCTACTTACATAATACTGAATTAACTCATTGCTTATAATGTTTGCTACTTACATACTACTACAACTTATAATGTTTGCTACTTACATAATACTGAATTAACTCATTGCTTATTCTTCTAAAGTGGCTATTTAATAGCCAATATAGAAATGGATTCCAAAAACTGTCACTCAGTGCTAGCCATGTTACTAAGAAGTCTAAGCTTGGTGGGACCTGTTAATTGAAATACGTAATATTTAACGTCCGTAATATTATATTTTATTTTAAATCGCACACTATATAGCATAAACTAATACCTTGCAACCCGTGCAAGCCGCTACTACTTCTTGAATAGTTGCCGGAGTTACCATTACAATAAATCCTAAAGACATTGCAGCCATTGTACGAGATGTGCTCACGCTATGTGGTCGTACTGGAGCTTGTATTTGCTTAAAGAAAAATAAAAATGTTAAGAACTTTCTAGGAATTTATAAAAATAAGCTACATAATTGTTATTCATACTTACAATTGTTTCAATTTCATTATGATTTTTAGCGCAAGACAATGGAACTCCATTAGGCCTTGTATCTTGACTACATTTATTTCTTGTTTTACTAACGTGAAATCCTGATCCATAGCAATACATCAACGCCATAGTTGTTGGAAAATAATACGCGCAACACGCCAGAATTCTAAAAAAATATATGATAAATTACCACGTAGTATGATAAAACACATAATTATGATAATACGAAAAATACTTGATATCCCGATCTATGTTTTGAAAAACTTATAATCCACGAAACCAAAGCTTTAGCAGGATATTAGATGTGGGATGTTCCCAAATTTATAATTAAGCTTATTATCGATACCAGTTCTTCTATAATTTTTGTACCTGTCCACAAATTCACTTTGGATGTAATGTCGATATTATCATGTAATTCTAAAAACATATTATTACCTGAACGCAATCCTACTGTGAAATACGTCACATGCCATTAATCCAGTAGAATTGAAGTAATATCCAGATCTTGGTAAGACCATAATAGCGAACAGAGACACTGATAGTATCCAAGTGACACTAATCACAAGAACGCAACCCTGTAACAAAATTAAATTGTAACTTATATAAACAATAAAATCACGTCCCATCACAAAATTACTATATGCACTACCTTTTGAATAAAGATGTTAAACTATTAGCTATTTAACATGAAAACATTTTTGCTACACAAATAAAAGGTAAAAAATATTTCAAAAACAACTGAGATTGATTCGATATTTGAATTGGATCTGAAGGAAAGTACTTAATATAAAAGATCTTTTTTATTCGCCCTTACCTAAATCACATTTAAATTCTAGTAGGTAGCCAGAATTCTTTAAGCGACTAAGAAAAGAGATTTCAGTGAAGATAAATGCTATTAAGCAAAGCCGTTTCAGAATAAAGGTCTTGTGTATTTTGAATTGTAATAATAAACATTTTATTAACCAATTTTAATTATTTTGCATATGTTGAACTTACCTTTTTACTTGAATGTTTCTGGTAAGCATTCGGGTGTAGCAAATACAAATATCTGTCTATCGCCATACAAACTAGGATAATAGCACTTTGTTGACTTACAGCTCCCCTTAAAAGTGCCTGAAATGCAAACTTTATGTGAAAGTAATAAATGATTCAATTTTTTTACAATATATTAAATTATCAAAACTGTAAGAATTTGCTTCAAAGGCAAATATTTCATTTTTTGCTTAGTCACTAATCGGTTCAAAATTATCAACTAGTTCATTCTTGAATTTGTTGTTCATAATAAACCATGATAAATTGTTCTAAATTTATGTAGCAATTTCTTGTTCAAGTAAAAAGTTTAGCTTCGAACCGTTAATGAGAATAGTAATTAATCGCCCTTAAAATGTTCAAACTTGAGATTTTTCCAAAGCTTTTCCTTACTGTTCTTTATTTCATTTTTTATTTTATAATTAGCCTTTCTTAATGCCTGTTAATAATTTAAAATACTTTGCATACCCAATGGCTAGGCTTTTATGTAAGTGATGTTTTAAATTAAATAAACAATTTACTTTTTTGTTTTTAGCTTAATTTAACTATTTTGTACATTTAAAATTATGGTAAAAATAAAATATTATATAAATGAAAAAAGAAAATATAATATCTACTATAATCAATAGTTTTGTATTTAGAACACCATAGATATTTTTGTTAAAAATATAACTCATAATATTTTGCGTATACTAAATACGTAGGTATCAATAATGTAATCTAAATTTTGTTACATCTATAATATCTGATTACATTTTGATCTTCTTTGATCTTTCTGCCTCAATCAAAAGTTTTTAGAAGTAACTTTACGTATTTTCTCTTCGTCGTCTTGTTGGATTAAAGTTTTAGTAACAGATTAGGTTCTAGTTTCTTATTAATTAAAAGTCTTCATTAGTATCTTACTACGAGTAAGAAAATTCTATATTATGTTCATGTAGGGTAAAATTAAAACTAATAATCTATTAATCTATCTTTATAAATAAAAATGAATGTTTGTTTGTTATCTAAACCATTGATTCGATTATGTCAAAACTATGGTGGGTTATTCTGTATCCGCCTGCAAAGGTTCCTGGTGCAAAAAAAGTTTTTTTTTCGACGTTTGTTGTTTATGTGTTCCTAATACACTCAAGGTTTGGGACTCACACGAGTGAAGTGAGGGTAATAATATGTAAATAAACTCTTACTTGAATTTGACAGAATATTTCGCCGTACGGCCAACACTTGTACAGCGCTGGCAGAAGAGCCACGGGGGCTATGAGGATTCCTGTGAATAAGTCGTTGAGAGCCAAAGACGTCAGTAAGTACCTGGGCTGTAAATAAATAAATCAATTAAGCGTATTTAACTCAAAAATCAAAATTAGGCCATAGTTATTTAAGTTGCTTTTTACTGAACTTCTTATAAGTCGATTTCTGTATCGTTTATTACTTGCAATTTTTAAGAAAGTCACTATATTTCTAGTCAGTAGTTAAAAAAATAATGTCAAATAATAAAAGTATCATTACGCTGTCATCTTCAAAATTAAATATAAAATTTACGTGTTATTTTTTGACTAAAAAAGGTAGAAACCTTTTTTTAAAATATGGAATCACTCTTTCGGTAATAACCGATAATAACGATAGTGCGTAACATACACACAAAAACGCCGAAAAAAAGGTAGTAAACCTTTTTTTTGAAGTCGATCCAAATATTGGGCTCAAAGAAAGACAAAATAGTTACGTTACTAAATAATAGATAATAATATTAGCAGTTTGTAATGAAAATGGACAAATTATAAACTTTTTTACGTATTTTGTGTCACTGCTCGTGGTCAATCTTGACGGACTAAACTCTTGTTTCGAACTGTTGTTCCTAACTCATAATAAATGAATAAGGTAAATATATGGAAAAATCAGGGTAAGCTAAGCGTACACTTGTATGCGTGTTTCTTTACAAGCAAATTATTATATATTTTTTTGTTATTGTTTGTTTAATTCTATATGTTATTCATTTTAAGAGATTTTATAATAAGTCTTACAAGACTGTCTTGTTTTAGTTATGTCTTCTTGCTCTGTTTTAGGAAAATTTAAATTCTGTAGTTACCTGATTGTCAATATACTTGATATATCTCCTGTTATTCAGAACACAAATGAGTACCAGATTGCTAAAAACAATAGCCATAGATATTGTAAAAATAAAGAAGGCTTTCAGTATGTCTTCAGTTGCTGGAAAAGTAGACGGCCAACCTTTACCGTTGAGGCCGCACGAGCTGTTAGAAAGAGACGGCGCGACTAACAATGCACCTTTAGTCGAGTCGAACATAGTCGGCGCCTGCTTCCAGCAGCGCAATGTTTTGTTGAATAAGGCATTTAGATCATATGGTATTCACTATCTGTAGCTCTAAGCCATTTTTTAAGACCTATTTCCATTCTATTATTATATATTCCTTATAAAATATATAATATTGAGAATATTTTCTTTAAAAGACGAAATCATTGTGGCTTCAACCTGCAACAAAAAAAATCATATGATATCACGTAAGACTATATAATAATGACTCGCTCTTGCGTAGCTTTTTGTAATTAAAAGGCTTATATCTCCAAAAACCATTTAATGTACCAATAGAAAAGTATCCCATGTCATAGAATAAAAATGCTCAACTATCACTTTGCTTATCTGTGGTCCGTTTCTTAGGTGAAAGGACAATCATATAATATGTAATTAATAGAGCACTTTTGAATTCATAATGTTATATAAATAGTACTGATACATATTATATGTAGTTACATTTACGTATAGAATACGAGTATCATATAATCGATCATACTTATTAACATCAATCAATTTAACGTAATAAATTAGTCATTTGTATTATAATGGACATTTTTAAATAAATTAATTGGTAATTATCCTAACAATAAACATATAACTGTCTCGATTAGCAGGATTCTTTAAAACACTTAGTTATGATAGCTAATTATTAAGTAGTGTACCTACTGGTAGGTAATTTAAATTTATGTTTTAAGATAGTGGAACAATGTTGCGCGAAGCGCAGTAGGATCTGAGCTGGGAATTGCGACCAAAGATACACGTAGCCCTAGTAGCTTAATTAGAATTAAGTACGTAAATAATATACTTTTCATAAAAAATAAAATAAATAAAACTAAGAAAGCCTTATATTTCTCTACAAATTACATTACTAAACATTAATTTAAATAAATATTTCTGTTTGAGAACCCCTGAGGTGAAAGCCTTCTCCAGAGAATTCCAGTTGGCTTTGTCCTGCGCTACATCCATCCAGCGTGGTCATCAGCTATACGCATGATACTTTTCATTACATTACTATAAACTTACGATAACTATTTATGACTGGAAAAAATAAAATATGCTTTTGAAAGCTAACTTGGTAACATACAGTATAGGAAGTGGGGGTACAACAAAAGTCTATTGTATGCTTAAAGTATGGCTCAATCTCTATAAATAGTTATAAAATTTTCCTATTGCTTTGAGGAAAATGCGGAAGAAAATATTTTTTCCCAGTACTGCGGATACAAAATCAATTTTACTGTTGTCGTTGACCAGATTAGGGTAAAAAATCATCGAGTTTTGTAAGGTTCGTTGAACATACTCTGATTTGAGCTTGTTTAAAATTGTTTACATAATTAATGTGACTTATGCCCGATTTCACCAACATCACCTAAGCTTAAGGGATCCCCTAAGCATGGTTAGGGGGCTGTTAGGGGACAGTTTCTGTTTCACCGACAGTTAGGGGTCACCTAAATATTAAACGGCCCCCTAAATTTAGGTGCTCGAAATATGGGCTTAAAGACGATCGTAAAACGAAATTTAATTTAGGGGCTAGTTTAGGGGACTTTTAAGCTAAGGATACCATACGTAGGAGGTAGCTTATGGGTTGTTGGTGAAATCAGGCATTAATCATTTATCCTTTTCCATTTAAGAGCTGTTAATGGTTAATTCCAAAGACCCATGTTTTAAGTGTAGTACCTATTGTACATTTTTTTTAATTTACTTTATTTACAATTAAGAAAATTACAAATGTACTTAATTATATATACAAAACAATTGTACATTCAATTTATTTCAAGTTTTACTTTTATATACTACTAGCGACTCACCTTCGCTTGACTCGGTTTTGTCCCTAGGTTGATTCCTCTATTTGTCCCTATTGATATTAATTTTAAACTCAACTATATTTAATCTTTGATGGGAAATCGCACTTTCTGCCTAGATTAAAAGATATTGCTCAAAGTACATTCAATTTCCTACAGGAAATTGAACATTTAGGAAAGCATTCTAGAATTATAGTTATCTAATCATTTTTTTTAAATGTATTACGACTTTCTTATGATATTCAAAAGATCCGAATTTATATATATATATATATATATATATATATATATAAAAATCAAATCAAAAAAAAATTTTCTCTTCCGAATTCCCGAAAAAATTTACGAAAATTCTATTATAACACATAAAACTTATTTACATATTTTAGAAAAAAAAATGTATTCTAAAATATCAAAGCTTCTATTAACCGTCATCTCAAGTCTTATGTTTATTTTTTTTGCTCTTCAACAGGAATCTTTTCAAATGGCTGTAGGAGAATATTATATATAAGTGATGATAGTATTAAATAATAATAGTGCTAACTTTAACTAGGATTCTTTAAGTAGTTTCCCCATTATGTAAATAAAAATTCTTATCTATGTCTATAATAATATAAAGAGGTAAAGTTTGTGGGTTTGTGAGTTTGTGACGTTGTAGGGGGTAATCTCTGGATCTACTGGACCGATTTAGATGAAATTTGTTCAGAATATAGTTTGAGACCCTGAGAAGGAAATAGAATAATTTTTATCTCGGAAATCGTCCCTTAAGGGGGTGAAAATGGGGATGACAGTTTGTATAGGGAATCAACCTAGTGACGAACCCGAGCGAAACGAAGATGAATCGCTAGTATTAAACACAAATACAATATTATTTTTAACCTCTCTGCCGAATATTTCCTTTTATGGAAACTAAAACCAGAATTACATATAAAAAACGGAGTTAGCCTTGTTAACGTGCAAATATTCAGAAATTCACTTCAAAAGAGTTCTTCTGCAATAAAAGATAAACTTTTATTATAACTAATACTTTCTTAGATTTTTTTATTATACCTATTAATAGGTATAAATAACCCACAACTAATAAATGCTTTAAACTAACTAAAGCTCTATATAAACTAAACATGATGATGAATGTTTGGTTTATGAAGATAAATTATGTCTACCGACTGTTATGTAGAAATCGAAGCAATAGTTGAGTAACTCGTTTATGCGACGCACCCAAACGAAGCAAAGTTGTCACTAGTATCTAATATTCGCGTAATTCTAAGAAGTAATACGAAATTTAATAATTCTAAGAAATAATAATAAATAATAGTATACGATATGTTATTAACATGAACAAGTAAATTATAAAACAAATGAAATGGCAGCCAAATAAAATCCTGAATTATCCACAGTTCCTTCACCGCGGGCGGCTGCCTTTGTGAAAGATAATACGACCTTTAATTATCTTCTGTCGATTATCCGGGAAAAATTGAGATTTCTACGATTTTTGGCTTTATCTAAACCTCCTGCTGTTAGAGTTATGACCCCTAGAGTCACGATTCATTACGCAGTAAAAAAAATTTGAATGTTCAACCATCCGCAGTAATTAGGTTAATGCGTTTTCTAGTTAAGGGAAAAGCACGTTTTAATCGAATCATTGTGATTTTAGACTTAATATTTGATATTCGAGCAATCATAAATTAGCTTTTTTAAGTTATATCAATTTCGAGTTTTTTTTCTATTATAGTAACTTTATTTACACCAATATTTGATGTTGATATACACAACTAAGAAAAAACAAGATTTTTAGTATGAAGGTGTATTGAAAAAAGATTGTGTCCAAAACTTTCGTCCAAACTGTAAATACACGTGCACATACATACGTCATACATACAATAATATGAAAATTAATATAAATGATTATATAAATAGTAAGGTAAGCATAGAATTACGATCGTGACAAACCAGATAACATTTGTTTAAGCACTATTAACATCAGGTAAGTATTCTCCATAAATACCGTGCCGAATATTGTTAACACCTCCAGGTAAATTTCTAAGAAATAATTAAATTTCTAAGAAATCTATAGTTAACTGTAACGCCGACGTGTCCGCGGTCGTAGAGGGATTAATTTTAATTCTCACAATGGTTTTGTTATCATCCAGATAACTATTATATCAGTTAAAATAGTCACTGTCATTGGTTCTTATATTTATCTAATGTATAAAAATATTCCATGTACAAAATTAGCCGTAAAATGTTGGAAATAAATAGTAAAAAAGTCTTTTCCTTTGTAAATACATTAAAAGTACAATTTTCGCTTTATAATTTTATTAGATTTAGATTATTTTAGACGTTTCTATTAGCACAAAATTGGCAATTACCTGACAGATTGAATGGATATCGATTTACTTTGAAACATTACCTTTCAAAGGAAAAGTTTAGTTACATTTTATTTAAGTCCTAAATTACCCGCATTTATCTAAAAAAACTAACACGCTCTGGTCTTTGTTTCATGTGATGTTCAATACATTTCAGATTAAATCTTTTAACAAAAAATAAAAACCGACTTCCAGTCACTAAAATGTAAAAAATAACTAAACGGACGTTTTCATTTAGAATAGATACCTAATCGAGCGATCGATAGCTTAACCGATTTGGATGCGGTTTTCACTAATGTATTTTAGGGCAAGCTTTACTTAATATTTAATATTTGTTCTATTTCAATCGGTTCATAAATAAAAAAAGTTATGTCAATTTAATAAAAAAGCACAAGAAACATTTATTGGAAAAAAATTGTGTATACTTATGTACGCACGTAAGAAATTATACTTCTTTGTTCTTTTAGAGCATTTAAATAAAAGCTTGTTTTTTTTAAATGTCTTAACTTTTTTTTACGTTTCTTACTTTTTTTTCGTATTCTTCTCAGCAAACCCTTTCATTTAATATCCATCATGGGGGTGCAAAATAAACAGTCCGCCATTATAAATTTTATAATGACGTCACTTTGCTTATTGTGTTTCGCTCATCATTCTGTTTTGATTGATTTTGTAAGCTACTTTAAAATTTTGAATTAATGCAAAATTTTGAAAATACATACAAAATTCAAAAAACTGGTTTGACACACACAGGATTACACAGGTGACAATTTAATGATTTGGTACCATCAGTTTGATCTGATGATAGAACCATGAGAAGAATAGTGGAGCT